ATTTTTTTCCTGGCGCTCGGCTTCATTAATCATTCCAAAGAACACAGTTTACATTCTTTTACATGATCTCAGTTTGCCCAAAACATTATATGATTAGTGGTTTCTTAGAAATCTCTGCTTTACATTACTGCCAGGTGATTACTGCTGTTAGTATAGCGATAATAGTACATTTTTGATTTGTATCGCACATTCTGAAATCGGTGTTTCCATTTGTATTGGCAGATATCTGGCAATATACGTAGAAAGAGTTTGCAACCGTGACCGGATGGAGTTTATTCAAAGGGTGAAGGTTATCAATCTATAAGCGATGTGCCGTGGATTCGACTTCATCAAGCATCGCAGTGGTGACTGAAGGTATATCTGGTCTATGGAACATTTGTTGTGTTCTACCGACACATCACTTCACGGGTTTATATCCTTACAATTAAGTCTGGTACTAATTTTCGAGCTTGGGATAATCAAACGCCTGGAAAGCTCGAGACCTGATCAGCGATCAATCCAGAGTATAATGCACGGCACTTCTAACCACTGTGCTACTCACTCCAAGATGGTGTATATGCTTTTTAATTCTGTTAATCATCATAACATAGGGGAGCATGTTTATAGTACCTTCCAATAGACTATTTTGGGACCTCGCTTGAAATTCGTGTGCCGATTGCTTGTGCCACTGATGAGGTGGCGAGAACGCCTAAACGTGTGTAAGCGTCTATAAAGACCATGCTGGATTTCTTGAAAGGCTTGAAACATTCTATTAAACCACGTTTATAGTTTTCACTTGTCTCTAGCGAACGTCAGAGGACCACACTGAGCTATGCCTGCTCTCAATGCATAGGGATTATCGCGTTAATAAAGTATAATGGTGCTTTTTCATTGATGGAACTTTACTCACAGATGACTTAAGGGCATTGGTTTTCAAAGTAAATAAGGTTTTACCCATACCGAGAGCACTCGCTACCACTTCATCATCGAGGCCAGTGCTCTGTTATCACTCAGAAGTATATAAGGCATCGAAGGTGTCAACAACCAGTAGTCAACGGGTTTCACGAATGATAGTCAGATCAACAGTCTCGTTAGCGTAGGGATAGCACGCATCCCCGGTATTGGTGGAACGCAGGTTTGACTCCCGCCTGAGGTTTCGAGTTTTGCATGTCACTCTGTGTATTTGGATTGATAAATAGTTATAGCATCATAAGATTTCTATGAAAATGGTGAACTTTGAAAAGAAAGTCTTGCAGACCTGTATGAGGTTCGCTTTTTGTTCTGATATTCCACGTAATGGGACGTTACGTATCTTGAATCCGTGGTGATTGAGAACAATTGCGTCCTTCAATTCTAAGTAAACATATCTCAAATCAAAGTGGACTTTATTTATAAAGATATTGATCGTTAGCTTCTATAGATTTTTGTCAATAATATAATTCTTGTTCCACAATGGAAAAGTTCTGAGTTTTTTAGGCAAAAAAGAACTTTCTTCTATTTTTTCTTTGCGAAGACTCGTATTTGGCACACCGAAGCAGTTCAACAGTCGGGATGTGCCTAGCGAGATAGGAGAAAAAATGATCTCGATGATATACCGTCCCTTACCATGTACAACGCGGGTGTGGAGTATATTTCCCTTTAGAGGACTCCCAAAGCTGGTGAAGTGTTCATCTTTTCTATTTGGAAATGCAGTTAGGAGCTAGCGTTTGTGGAGTAGCGGATTGGCATTTGTTGTAGAAAGGCTCAGCAAGAACGTAAACGCCTCAACTTACAAAGGTTTTCGATTACCTGTGGAGACAACGTAAGACAGCTATAGCAAGGCTATACAAGGACGTAAAAGAAGTATTTAAACCAGTAGATGTGTAAATTGTATCTCATATTACAAAATTTCACTTCAAATTTTCAAGGCAATGTTCTCACCACGTAAGCGATTTTTTGTACTTGTCAATCTAATATTTTTCGAATGAAAAATCACAAGTGTTCAGTAGTTTTTGAGTGTCTATCTTTAGAGAATGCTCTCTGCTGCTATGCCTAATAGGAAGGAATTTAGCTGAATATACGGGATGTCAAGCAATATGTAACATCTTTAGTTCGAATACTCTTCCGAGTCATTCAGTTTTTATAGTTCCTGTAAAATCACAATATTTATCGCTCCTCATACAGTTACAACTAATCTGGAAAGCTGATAAGTAACGAGTCAAATAGGATTGCAGTCAAAAGATCATGAGTTTCTCCGTCATTTTGACAGCGAAGTAGCAGCCGATACGAGTGTTCACCTTTTCATTCACAGAAATCAAATGCTGCCTTGTGTGATCGGGGATGGGTTCACTATCTCAGCCAAAGAAATCAAAAGGTGCTCTATGTGAACATAGATGGTATAACAATCTCAACCAAAAGAATCAAAAGCCGCTCTGTATGATACTAGAAGGGTTCACTATCTCAACTAAAGGAATCAGAAGCTGCTGTGTGTGCTCCTAGAGGGTTAATCATCTCAATCAAAGTAATCAAAAGCTGCTCTGTGTGATCCTAGATCAGTTTACGATCTCAACCAAATAAATCAGAAGCTGCTGTGTGTGATTCTAAAGGGTTCATCATCTCAATCGAAGATAGCAAATGGTGCTCTGAGCGATCCTATAGATGGGTTCACGATCTCAACTAAAGAAATCAGAAGCTGCTGTGTGTAATGCTAGAGGGTTCATCATCTCAATCAAAGTAAACAAAAGGTGTTCTATGTGATCTTAGATCAGTTCACGACCTCAACCAAAGAAATCAGAAGCTGCTGTATGTGGTCCTAAAGGGTTCATCATGTCACCGATTATAGCAAATGGTGCTCTGTGCGATCCTATAGATGGTTCACGATCTCAACGAAAGAAATCAGAAGCTGCTCTGTGTGATCCTAGATCAGTTCACCATCTCAACCAAAGAAATCAGAAGCTGCTGTGTGTGATCCTAGATCACTTCACGATCTCAGTCAAATTAAATACTGTGAGACCCTTAGTCTTGATCGCCTAGAACACTGTTTATACGTTAAATATTAGCATAAAATGTTCGGGAAAGGCTGGTTCTTTGATCAATTCATCTACGCTATCGTATATTATGTGCATTTCGAAAGCTGCTCGGAACGTTTTCAACACAGGTGGCTTGATGGTTGGATAAAAAATTATAGTAAAGGCTGAAATACTATACCCTGAAATTCCATAGACAAGATGATTTATGCTGGAAAAGAGTACATAATAGTAATTTTATTAATTTGGTAATTCTTTGTAATTTTCATCTATTCTTATTCCTGAAAAAATATTCCCACTGCGCTACACCTTTCTCAGTATAGGTGATTACGTAGAATATATGGTAAATATTAAGTAAAAAATTATGAAGAGTGCATTAAGTATGGTAGATATAAAAAAGACTATGGCAGAATTTAAATAGTATGTGTCATGCTCAGGAATAAGAGGGCCTGAGTGGATTATTACTGAGCACGTGTACGGTATCAGACTAGAGGCGGTACGACGTATCACCCTATCACTGTGTACAGACCGTCGTGGAGGCGTGGTCACGTTGTCTCTCTTGCAGTACTATCGCTTGCCACGCGTCGTTGTGTACTTATCAGGTCGATCTTGATCTTCTAGGATTCATTTGATCTGCCTGAGATCATCTTTTTGCTTTGAAAAATTTTGAATTCTTCATCTGTCTCATAAGAATAAAATAGGATTTAAAAAGGAAATAAAATTCGAGATACGGTTAAAAAATGGATGATACGAACATGCGGGTCCTGAGTGGATAACCAAACGCGTGGGTGGTGTCGGATTACGGAGGCGGGTACGATCGGGACCTCATCATCACCGCGCAGAGACCGTCTTGGGGGCGTGGCCACGGTGCCTCTGTTGCGATACGATGCTTGCTTGCCATGTGCGTCGTCCGGCACTCCACGTAATCGGTCGATCGATCGATCGGTTTTATTTGGTGATCTCCATGAGTCCGTGTGATCTACGTGAGATCGTCCTTACTCTGGGTCTCTTCGCTTCCCATTATAATTTCTTGCACATCTCTTTTCGTTGATTTTCCTCTGTTAATCTTCATTCTGTTTATTTTTCCTCCCTCTCCTTCCCTGTCATCTTCATCTTCCGTTTTTTTTTTCATTTCTTTTCTTTGAATTTTCTTTCCTTTGCTTTTTCCTTCTTTCCACTCTCGTTCACATTTCCCCTGGACAATCCCATAAACACGATTACCACCTCCTCGCTCCCATCAAATATCGATATTTGGCGCGAACGACGGTGACCTCACCTACCAACCCGTCTGACCTTCTCTAACCCCATATGTCACCCCCTAATCGGCCATATGTCTCTCTCGGCCAGCTTAATCGTTAATGCTCCATCCTCAAGTCTTTCCCTCTCTCCAAGCTGCTTTTGTAATGATCTATCTTGCTATATTTTTGGGGTTTTTTTTTTGGCAAAATTTCTCCTATCAAATAGTTTTTTTTTCCAGCAACAGCAAATGCGATGCATGCACATCAGCGTGATGGATCTCTAATAAAGAAAAAGCAAGAGCAATGGGCAAGAGAACGAGGTGACTCGATTTGATCTGCGAAGGTCGGGACCTCCTCGGACGGGACTGAACCCGTGCCTCATCCTATCGGGGAGCGCATGCTAGTCACTGCACTGCCTGTTTATTCTATATTTTTCGATCGTTAATGCTGTTCTCATAAGATGATGTATAGAAAAGAGTGTCTGACGAATATAACGTCTTCTTGGAGAGCCATACAATGATAATTCGAGTGTGAAGTAACCCTACAGGGCTAGCATGCGCCCCCGGAAAGATTGCGACCCGTGTTCAATCCCGCCCGAGGCAGTGTTTTGCATACAGATCAGTACTTTTGGATATATAGTTATGACATTATAATACTTTGCTAGAAGCGGAGAAGTAAAAAGATTTTGTGTCAATTCGATTTAGTTTTATTCGCTAGTTTTATATGATGAAACTATATGTAATATACCCAATAGTGTAGAGTGGTGTGCAAAAACATTTGCGTCAGCCGGGATTCGAACCCAGATCTCTCTTTCCGGAAGCGTATGCTGACCGTTGCACCACATCCCGGTTGACGCAGCGTCGGTGGTGCAACGGTTAGCATACGCTTCCGGAAAGATTGAGATCTGGGTTCGAATCCCGGCTGACGCAAATGTTTTTGCACAGCACTCTACATTATTGGGTATATTATAAGAACATAGCACCGCAAGAGGCGGTCAAATAAGTCAAATCCGATTGATTATCGAAACTATATGCATCTGATGCTAGTGGAGAGTTATGGTCCCACCATTTTTTTGAATAGTAGTTGTCGTCCTATCAAGGATCTTCCATTGCTCCTTTAGTGATCATTCGATGGCTTAAATCTCTGTGTGCTACCTAGCCGTTTTTTTTTTTTTTGAAGAAGCCTTTTTATAACGCTCTAGCAAGAAGAAAACAAATGTGTTCCACACACCCATAGTTCCGCAGGACAGAACTCTTTCTTCGATTTAAAAGTAACCATTCGATAGTGTAGGTTTCGGCCATGCCAACGCTGTGCTTCCTTCCTTGGAAAACTGATTCTGTGCAGAGTAGCAGGGGAGATATGACCGAAGTTCACGTACGCCGCGCATTTGCTTGTCGGGTGGATGTGTGTTGGCTGTGGATCGATGGCACGCGATCGATAGATGCACGAGTGATTCACATGTGGAGTGCGATTTTTGTTATTGAATCGAGGATTTTTCTCTTCTTTTAGATGGACTCCGGATGAAACGTATGACTCTGATACTACAAGATTTCCTCTACATGTTCATACACTTTTCGTGCTTCCTGCGAACTTATAGGAAAAGCGCGCACAGCGTTATGAGAAGCTCTTTTCAAAGGGCTACGTAGTCCAATAGCTAGAGATTTAAGCTCTACAATGATTACTAGCATTGCAATGGAAAATTGTTGATGAGACCGCAACTATTTCAAGAATTCGTCGGACCAAAGCTCTCCATAGAGGCTTTATACATATATAATATATATATATATATGTGTGTATATATGTATATATATGTATATATATATGAAGGATAAAGCTCTCGGCGCTGATCAATCCCTGAGGGATGCGTCATGCATTCGACTTCAATTTTTAACTTCGTTTGAAGTGATTGAATGCATTTCTGGCTTTTACAATGACTCGCGGTAGCCTCCCGCTAAACCGAGTCAGTGCTGCTTATCTTCCCAAACAAGTCTGAGACCTGCCTGGTACCAGTTCACCCACCCCGAAGGGATGGATGGCTTGGTGAGCCATGAGCGCGAGATCGAACCATTGACGTCGTGTGAGACGCAAGGCACCTCTAACCACTGCGCCACATGCGCTCTTATGTATATATATATAATATATATATATAATATATATATAATGTATATATAATATATATGTATATATATATGCATATATATGTGTATATATATGTATAATATATATATTCTTTGTTGTTTTTTATTCTAAATATTTTAATACAGGTATTTTTAACTTTTTTATGCTTGGTATTTTGTTCCATGGATTTCTATTAACTTTGTTTTTCTAGCTGAAGACTCGAAACACACGTGGTTCCCGTTCGGTTCGCCAGGTGGCGGCACACCAAATCGTAAATTCGAATCCATAAACTACTCGGAGCCGGATAGTAGAGTCTCCCAGCAAAAACTGCCGTTATCACAGGTCAGATGGACTTCTTACGTTCAGCTATCATTTCCTCTTTAGTTCGATTTTATTACACGTTGCTGGCGCGGTCTTTTTTTCGTTGTGTGTTGACTTTTTCAGATGAATTCTGCATTTGAAATGGCTCTTTTTTATTGTATCCAGCTCCATTTTATCTGTTCCATGGGCTAATTATGATTATACTTATTAAGTCTACATGGATTTTCTATTCTATCGCTATCAATGCAAAATTACGATGTGTTGTAGTGGTGGCGAAACGCGTCTCTCATATGTGCTAAATGCGCGGGTTCACTTCCTGCCGCGGTCGAATTTTTGCAAACCTCTTAGCGTCTTCTATCTGTCATTTAGAATGACTCTGTCTGTTCATTACATTTCATATTCTTATTTTCTGCTGACCAATTTCGTCTACTTTTTCTATCGAACGACGTTCATAAGAGATCGTTGATCTGTGGTCCAATTAGAGTTCTTCTTTCTTTCTCTCTCTCACCGGATATCGGAGCCTATCGGGGTTTTGTTAGATATCGTCGTCATCTCATTGGGGTTTTGTAGCATATGTTCATCTTCGTTGAAATTCATTTAAATTTGGAACCGGTTCCATAATGGTCACAATCATTCCACCTGGTCAGGCAGCAGTGACTTTGATTAATGTCCAAAGTTTTTGTTTGAACACCCCTTTGCGGACGATGAGCAGGTTCCAGAGGTCTTCTTTCGCTAAAAGGAGCTTTTTATCTAAAGATTCAAGTAATCATTCGATAGCTCAAATCTCTGGGATCCCGACACTACTTGGTTTTCACAAAGACCGTTGTAGAACGGTGTAGCAAAAAAGTAAGCTTATGTCTCGCACTCGATTTGCCTTATTCGCTCAGCTAAAGTGTTTGTATCATTTTTTATTGGGCCATACTAAGCTCATTTGGTAGCCCAAATATCGGTGAATTTGAATTTCAAACTGGTTCTCGAAAAGGTTTTCTGAACGCGCTGTGAGAGCGGAAATAGAATTACGTTTCCCATTCGGAGTTTCCTTTAGGCATAAAAGTTATGTATGGACAAAGAGTATACAGACTTGTAGAGAAAATCGTGTTCTGTCAGAGTGGTATAAGGAACTCAAAGTATTTTTGGCGGAACAAGGAAAATAATTCCTTTGAAAACCGAAAATCGCGCGTCATTGGCGATATCGATTATGCTACTGTCTGCAGAAGGATATAATTAGCATTGAGCTTCTTGATAAGCCGAAATAAGAGGTTGATATAATAATATTTCTATGGATAACTGTAAGGTGGAAGCATCTGCGGATTTTTCCTTCTTCAGAGCTTGGAGAGATCACATTTTGTCTACAGCTCAGTAAGCTAAACCGTCTCGATTGCCCTAATAAAAGAAAAAAAAATCTTCAAGCCCTCAGATGACCTGTTCTTTTCAAGCACTGAAATGAACGAAATCCATGGAAACGCCAGCTGTCTAAATCAATTTTATTTTTTAAAAACTTCGTGTTTTTTGCTTAGTAAGAAAAAATTGCGAGCTATTGAGCAGTGCCGTGGTTAGGCCGGTCGGGACGGCAGTTGATCGTTCGAGCAACGCGGTTTTTGTTGCTTAATCGAGGTTTTTCTCCTCCGTTTTCAAATATAGTCCAGGGTTTTAGTGTTACTCTAGTACCCCATGATTCTCTTTACAAGCTCAAATTCGAGCTTTCGGCGCTGTTCAAAGACTTTTTTGAAATCAGAGCTAGTTTCAGTTTTCTAGGATATACGCTACCAAATGGTTACTAAACGTCTGAAGAATAGCTTTTCAAAAACTATAGCCAAGCAAGGAGTGCGCACCGAGTGTAAAATGTAATCTTGTTCACGATATTACAGTGCAGTGGGAAGGCCTTTCCAGAAAGCAAGCGATGTTTCGAACACCGAGATTTAAGCTTATGAATAGTTGCTAAAGTTTAGAAAAAATAGTTCTGTCTAGCCAAAAAGGGCTTAAACTTTAATCGTGTTCGTAGGGGAGTTCACACCATGGGTTAAAAAATAGTCGGACCTGCGATCTAGTATGTCATTTTCGTTTGTTAGTCATTATCACCTCCAATATGCAGTGTATTTTACATTCAGATCGTACTGATGTAACCATTCGTTTAAATTCCTTCAAATTCAAGTCACCTCAGTTTAGATTCGTGTTCACCCTATTCATGTTCATCCTAGAGGATCGGTTAATTTTTCACTCTTACTTCAGTTTTGATTTCGCTTTTGGCATCGTTACAGGATCGACCTGTAGAAGGCCGATCAAAGGAGCCGCTGCCGAAACCGATTTACTTGAATCGACAACGTGAAGACTTGAGAAATACCTTACGAATTTAATCCAGAAGTCCGGGTAGATCAAACTGCATGGCTAAAAACAGAGCAATCTCAGCTTAACCACTGAAGGTTCAATAAGTTCAATTGTTTTTGAAAGCAAAGTTAAGTAGAATTAGAAAATAACATAGTCATCACGTGCTGTGCACTCATCAAATGGCGCAGGTGCAAGCGGGTTTTGTTTCGTTTTTTTTTTCGTCAATCGAAGGGAACAGCTGTGAACAGCACCATCTATGGTTCCATCCATTGGTCTCCAAATGAATCCCTAATGCTAGTGATTCATCTTTGTGTCTATTCAACGCTTGCCTTCATCGGCCAAGGTCACTTTTTCTACGTTGCTTTTCGAGTGATAGAGATAAAGGTATGGCTGTGTCACATAAGGTGACAAAAAGCTCGGAGAACTTGCTTCTGATGAAATAGAGGGTATATCTCGATGAAAAATTAATGACTGAACGGACGATAAAGCAGTCACAGCCCTTGCTGATGTGGCTGCTGAGGTGGAATCTGCCCAAGCTGTCGAAGGCGATCAAGCTGGAAAGAAAAACTTCTACGTGTATAAGCTGTGTTTATCAAGCGTGACCTGATTCAAGTACCTATCTTTTGTAATGAGATGTAAATCGTTCTTTTTTGTCGTTTCGATTAGTATTCAACCTTCTCGTTTCCCTCTTTCGCTTCTATTCTTTGCATTCTTTCTTTGAGGTTTCTTCTTCCATTCTATCTAAGCCTATGAGAGCATCCAGACCTGTAGTTTGCCTAATGTAATAATACTGAATAGGAGTCATTATCTATTTAACGACATGAATCCGATCGAAAAAGTGTCGGTGTTGAACAATCCCAAGGGCTGCGCCATGCATTCGACTTCATCAAGCATCGTTAGAGGTGAATGAGTGCCTAGCTGGTTTTTTACAATTACTCGTGGTGGCCTGGCGATCCATCAAGTCAATGCTGCTATCCTTCCAGACAAGCAATCCACTAACCCCAGAGAGTTGAATGGCTTGATAGCCCGGGACACGAGATCAAATTAGACAGTGATGGTATTTTCTTTTTTTTTTTTCTTGCAGACTCTGTG